TCCAGCCGGTACCTCCGGAGTTAACTCCTTCCCTGCCGACCCGCAGCCTGGGGACCTAGGACGCTGGCTGTCCAGCCCCCAAGGGGACCTGACGCGGGGGCGGAGTAACTCTTGGAGAAGAAGGGACAGGATGGTTGCCAGGAGATAGGGACCCTGCCTTTCCCACCCCTCTGCCTGTTCCTCCGTAGCGGGCATCGGGAATTTGCTGCCCTACCCTCAGCCTCAGGAGTCCTGGAATTATGAAAGATCATTTTTTCCAAACCCGTTCTAAGAGAAAGGACAATTTTCTTATTGTGGCCTATCCCCACAGCCGCAGGTTCACGCCCTCTCTGCAAGGCTTGCTCCTGTGCCGAGGGAAGTTCTTCTACGTGTCTAGCCTGCACTCCTTTTGTTATCTTGTCGGTTCCTTTCTACGGAGGGGCTGGGATAATCCCCGGACCTTCCCAGTGCAATCACCGTGTCAGGAGCCATTCGTCTGTGGCCCTGGGTGAAAGGGCTGCTAGGGGCCAGGCTGGATTCTGGGGCTGGGGGCAGGAGTTAGCATCCTGAGAAGTTGGGGATTGAGATGGGCAAGACCTCCCTGGATACTGTCCCTCCATTCTTAACTACTTACCCCCCCCCCGTGACACAAGGAGGGGAGTTACCCGGCTCAGGGGGGCTCCTGTCCCAGTAGGGTCCCTGGTTATCTCTGGTCTCTGCAAACCTCCAGAGCAAGGAGGAAGAACAAGACCCTCAGCTGAGATTCCCAAAGGTGGGGGCCGTGCTCCATCACCCCCACGTTGTATCTCCAGGTCTCCTTCCTTTAGTCTTTAGAAAAATAAAAGGTCAAGTCCTAGTATCCCTTGGAGGCTGCGAGGGTGAGGAGGTACCCCAGCATTTGCAGTAGCCCCAGACTGGGCTGGGCCCCTGGGGCACGGTGGACACTCTGCCCTGTGGCCCTCCGAGGCCCAGCTTGGTCTCTGGCTGCAGCCCCCAGCGCTCACCCAGCCTCCTCCCCCACCATCTGCCAGGCGGGTGCGCGGGTAATGCAGATGAATCTTAATACCAGCCTGGGCCAAGTGCGGTGAGGGAGACGGATTCTGCAGAACCCAGACAGCATCGCAGAGCCCCCTGCATTCCAGGGCACCCTGGGCCATACCAGGATGCAGCAACACTCTCCTGGTGGGGGTAGGGGGGGTATGCATGTGTAGTCAAAGATCCCCAAAACCAGGGGAGGAAGGAACATGTAAACCCTTGTCTGGCCTCTGAGCCTCTGGTCCGGCTGGGAGGGAGAAGCTGTCCTCGTGAGCGTGGGCAGCTGGTTCCGCGCTCAGCAAGGTGGAGGCGTAGTGAGGGGGGCACTCCCTGTTCATCTCCAGGAGGTCCTGTCCCTGGGAGAGCAGTGTGGCCCAGCAGAAAGAGCACAGGTTTTCAGGTCAGACAGTCCTAGCTGCACTCCAGACCTGGCTGTGTGACCTTGGGCAGGTTACTTCGGTTCTCTGGGGCCAGCTTTCTGATCTGTTGTTGCAAGAGCGACATGAGACAAAATGTGCCGAGCACAAGCACAATGGCTGGCGGGCAGCCGTAGGAGTGCGATACACGGAAGCGCTGCTTCTCCACTTCCCACTCGTTTGCTCTGGCTGCTCCTCCTGCCGGGCTTGCCCTCACTCCCCTCTCGGCCATTCCCGGCTCTCACTTCCTTCAAGTTTCTGCTCTGCGTTCATCCATGAACCACTGGCCCAGCCTGTCCTCAGTGCCAGGCGCCCGGCCAAGGGCAGAGATATAGAGAGGAATGGGACGCCATCCCTGCTCTCCACGATCTCATCTTCTAGTTCAGAACAGAGACATGAAAATCGATAATTATAACGCAGTGTGGTGAGTGGAATAACGGATCCTTGCACAAGGCATTATGGATGCACCGAGGAAGGTGAGGGCAGAAGCTGGGTCAGGGATGGCTTCCTGGAGGAGGTGATGCGGCAGTTGTGGGCAAGAGCCAACCAGGCAAGGGCTATTCCTGGCAGGGGGCACAGAAAGAGGAAAGGTCTGGAGGCTAGAACTGGAAGCTGATTGCTGTTCCTGCAGCACAGAGGGGAGGAGGAGAGGCTGGACCCAGCTGATGGAGGGTCAAGGGGTTAGGACCTTTGTATATGAGGAACCAAAGAAAGGTTTTCAGGGGGCTGGTAGTTATAGTCAGATTCACATTTTATAGGTTCTTTTTAAGTCTGCTTTGTTGAAACTTTTAAGAAGGAATCTCAGGTTAGGTCTTTATTGCTTTCTTTCTTTCTTTCTTTTTTTTTTTTTCTTGGCAGCTGGCTGGTACCGGGATCCAAACCCCTAACCTCGGTGTTACCAACAACACACTCTAACCAACTGAGCTAATTGTCCAGCCCAAATGTGCATTTTAGAAAGCTGTTGGAGAATTTACTGGAAAAAGGAGAGATTAGAGGGACGGAGAAGAGGAGGGAATCAGCCAGGAGATAAATGCAATAGTCTTGGCGGTGGGGACCGAAGACATCTTTAAGAGGCAACATGATCAGGATTTGGTTGTTGCTGAGCTGAGGGAGGAAGGGAGAAAGGGAATGAAGTGCGATCCTCAGCTTTCCATCCTGGGCAAAAGGCTGGATGATCGATGAGGTGGGCACCACAGGCGGGGGAGGAGGATGGGGTCACAGGAGAAGGTGGTGGGGTCAACTTTTGCCATGTTAAGTCCAAAGCTTGCCCTTGGGTGCTGCTGGCCACTCAAGGGCAGACGAATATCTAGCATGGGGGGCTGGAGATGTGGAGGACACCAGAGGAGCAGCAGGCATAGAAGGAGGAGCCCTGGACACCCTGGCATTTAAGGGGTGAGCAGAAGAGGGCCCCCAAAGGATCCCCAGGAGGAACAGGCAGCCAGAGGCAAGGAGGTCAAGTGGGGCTGATCCTGGAAGCAACACAAGCAGTGGGACTGTCACTCTGAGTGTGCCAAGCAGAGAGGGCACAGTGCACATTGTATTCTATGCAGATCCCAAGGTCCCACTCCCAGGGAGCCTCAGTTGGTAGGTGGGAGCCCAGGACTATGTATTTTTATAAACCCCTGTCCCCACCCAGGTGATGCAGATGGTGGTGGCCTCTGGACCTCCCTTTGATCAACCCCGGTGTGGGAGTGTTGGGAAGGTAGGAATGAACAACGGTGCAAAGGAGCAGAGAGACCAAGCAAGGGAGAGACAGAGAAGTGACCACTGGGCTTGTCTGAGATTCCTCCAGCAACTGTCCTCAACCTTGGTCCCTCCAGTGGCTTTCAGGGGAAGACAGACCAGAGACACAGTAAACTGAGCACCAGACACAATAACAGCTGTGCTGGAGGTGGCACCCAGTACATGTCTGCCATTCAGGATCACCTTTCTGTATCTGCCAAACCCCTCCCCCACCGTGCTCTGCACACAGTAGGTGCTCAATGAAGGGAACAGAACTGGATGTACTTGTCCACTCCTCTGCTCCCAGCCTCCTCTGTGCCCACTCGCACCCTAGATAGGGCTGGATGGGCATTTGCTTCGCACCTCTGATGCTTTCACCTGCTCTGTCTCATCCTTGGAAGAATCCTGTCTATATCTCTTCCCTCCTCCCTGCCTCTCCACTGCGGCAGGGAAGAAAACAACACGTGGGCACCTGCGCAGCGCTTAGTGAATGAATGGGAAACGGGGTTCCTGATGGCTTGAAAGGTAGAGAGTGGATGCCCTTGAGGCAGCTGGAGTAGAGAGGTCGGGGAGAGGCCAGAGTAGATCATTATTGTTAATAATCTCTCATGTTTAGCTGGCAATTTGCAATTTTCAAGTGTTATGATAGAGTGGTATGTATAGGGTACTAAAGCTGCCCACAGGGAAACCCTGATTCAAATAAGGGGGCCCAGGATGGATCCCAAAGGGATTAGTCTTAAATGATATGTGGATCAGCCCAGGTGGGAGGGAAAGGAAGGAACCTTCCAGGCAGAGGAAGCAACTCAAGCAAAGGCCAGAGATGAAAGCAAGCCTGTGAATGGAGTTCTGATGGGACGAGATGAAAGACTCATTTGTTCCACGTTTAGTTATCAAGTGTCTACTTTTATGTCTGGTCCTGGGCTGGGCGTGGGGTACCGCTGTGAATGGAGAGACTGCAGTCCTTATTTGCATGGGAGCTTGGGCTAAGGGAGAGACAGAGATTCAGCAACTAAGCACATGAAAACACAAGCTCTGAGGTGCTGGCACTGGGGTGCAGGGAGAACAGCCAGTTCTGAGCAAGAGAGAAGCAAAAGGGGTTCTAATTTTCCTGGGAGTGGTCAGAGAAAGCACCTGTGAGGATGTGACATTTCAGCTGGGATCTAAACAATGAGGAGGCCTGGGCCAGCCATAGAGCTGGGGGAGGAGCCTTCCAGGCAAAGGGAAGGGCACCTGCTAAGACCCTGAGCCCAGGAAGAGCTCAGTGCTCTGGAGAAGCTGGAGGAGCTGAGTGTAGTGAAGAGGGGGACAGGGACACAAGACGGCCAGAGAGGGGAGCAGGGGCTAGGTCGTGCAGAGCTTGATGGCTCTAGTTAAGGGCTTGGGTTTTCATCCTATAATTAAGGTGTCTTTATTTTTGTT